ACGAAGTGCTCATCTTTTTTCTCCAAATTCTCACAGAACTAAGTGCTTGAGGATATCTCTCCTATTAACACAGTTCAATCATCACACAAATATCACTATCAATCAATTACGTAAAAAAGCAACCAGCAGTATTGATTGATTCTGTTAATCGCTTTCATCTATTCGCTTCGCAAAAACTGGATGAATATCCTCCTCCCACATTCACAATTGAATGAATGATTTTTTTGTTATTGAAATATGTTCGTTACGTTTGCTTTGGTAACGCTCGATTATGGTTAGTTTTTTTTAATGAGACACTCCACTAATCCACATCGATACTCTCGATCTAATGTAAATAGACCTTGAAGAACACAAACTGAATTTGAAATGTTCTTAAATTCATTCTCATCTTCCTCTGAGATGATTTATTGATACTTCCCGTTACTATTGCTCAGGTTTTTTCCTTTCTTCTTTCTCTTTACAGGTATGGTACAAAGGCGTAGCCCTTGTCAATCAATTTTATCATACGACGACAATTTTACATTTTCCAATTTCGAAACTTTTTTTCTAACTTTCCATCATTCGTAGCCATTGAATAGCAGCGAAATTTTTCTTTTTTCTACCTGACTACACGTATTGTTTTTTGTATTTTTACTAACGCATTATTTTCAGCATTTATTCTGATGTTTTCAATGATAAATATCCACTGCATTGAGAATGTTTAAGTCGCACCATTCATTTAGCTTATGGTTATATGAACTTGCGTATTTCATTATTATGTGTGTGTGAATCTATTATTTGCGTTACCTTTCCGCAATAATTATCAGTGTCTTGCCAGTGAAATATTTCGCAAGATCACAATTCAGTTCTTCGCTTATTCATCAAATGACATTCATTTTTCGATGCCCAGTTTCAACACCTCTCATATAACTACCTTCTAGCAGGAAATTCTGCTGAAAAGCCTGTCTGAGTTATCGTTTTTGAAATGGACAAACGGAAAGAGTGGTTCATTTTGATGACGAGTTAATCATTGCTGAAAGTTTTCACCAAAAATTGAAAAGTACAATTTGCGTGTGTAGACAACATTCTCTGATCAGCTACTATCGTAATTCTTGGAACGATGATGCAATGAAGTGGAATTCTATTCCTGAATGCAATTTCCCAATGAATCATCAGCCGTAAAAATGTTCAGCTTGCAAATTTCATTTTGATCAATCTAACTTTCAAAATTCATTTGCATTCTTATCAAAACACAAACAAGCCAACAACTATTCTGCTCCTCCATTCGTGCTGCTCGTCTTGTTAGCTGTGCAATCGTATCGCTGCATTAGTAAAGAGCACAAGAACCAGAAGCAATCTGGCCTATGAAGGATAAATAGCCAATTGAACATAAATTCTCGGAGAACAAAGTCGTTTATTTCAGATGAAATGGCCAATAGCGTTTTGGTCACGGCAGTCACACAATCTCCGTCTCGTCGCCAACTCTTTGACGTTTCAAAAATGCCTCCAAACGGAGCCGAATGGTTGCAAGGTCCACAATTTTTTTCTGTTTTTCGGTTCAGTCTGGAAATTCTCGCATAATTACTGGGATCAGTGTTCATATAAATACCGCTTGCTCACTTTCTACAACATTTGCCGCTTAATTCAAATATTATGGCTAACGAATCATATCGTGCTGAACAGTCTCGAAAAAGTAAAAGAAAATAGCGAACTTATACCGATCAGGCAGAAAATCTGAAGTTTCATCTGAAAATCTGCATTTTTGAAATGTGATTGATGTTGATCAATCTTACGCACCTTATCGACTTTATTCTCAGCAACTTAGAGGATGATCACACGATCATAAAAAACTCAAACTGCGAGGATGATCATTGAGTATCGGAATCTCCTCCAGTTGTTACAACCTTCACATTGAATCTAACAATCAGACAGTTGCTAAATTTATTTCGTAGGTTTTGTCCAAACCAAAAGTAAAGTATACTGCTGTTGAAAGGGCATCTTCAAAACGAGCCCGGCACTCATTGCGGTCAAGTCATTCGGAAGATATTCACTTTGAATTGATTCAAAATNTGCTGAAATTCTTCATTTTCAGAAGCTGACGCCATCTATTTAACAGCAATAGCAATCGCGACACTTGCTGTTATAGCTGTGCTGGCGATGACGTTTCTACACCTTTATTATATCTATCATTACATCAGCAATCAATCAATTCAGGATAATATGTACTATATTACACTCCTTTTACCGGTGAGTTTTATACCCCTCTAGGGATATTGTCCGGTGCAGAATTCTGTTTCTATTGACTTTTTGCTCGACACGTTGAGAGGTGATCAAAATTATTGACATTCCCAATTGAAGTATTCAGTTTGTCCTGATTAAAGCTCTTATTTTATTAGTATTACCGTCATAACAAGAACTGATAATTGGTCATCCGCGATGGAACGCTATCATTTTGCCCTATGAAAAATGAATGAAATGAAAATGCATTAAAGTGCACATAAAAATTCCAAAAACTTTCAGATAATGTCGCTATGTTCTTTATTCGCAATGTATATGCCACGTTGTGCATTCTTCATGTTCACCATATGCTTAACGTTAGACAATTTTCGTGCTT